ATGGTCACTCTTCGCTTTGCAGTCCTGTGGCCAGGGGGTCAGCTCTCAACTAAGTGGGTAAATCCACGTTTCCTGTGACTTAAACACTCAAAAAAACTTCAATACGCTTAATTCTTGGGTGTTGTTATTCCTAATGAAATTTTAATGAGCAATTCCTAGATTAGTTCCACAGTCAGAAAGACGGATCTGACTCTCGTCTGATTCTTCCCTGAAGTTGTGGGCGTGTTCATATCCACTGGTCTGGCCGACCCGGCCCGGCTGCAGAACGACACCTTGCTGGTCTCAGCCCCCGAAACCCTGCTGGACCGTCAGCTGTCGGTGCAGAAGGCCCCTCGCGGACGCTTCAAGATCTTCACCATGTACCACGGCACTCGGCCGAACGCCGCGAGTCCATCCTGATACGCGGCTTCCAGCAGTCGAGTTCAGGCATGCTGGGAAGGGGCGTCTACGTCAGCAGGGACTACCGCAAGGCCGAGCGGTACCCCCTGGACCTGCCCCCTCCCATGAGGGTCCTGTTCAAGATGCGCGTGAAGCTGGGCCGGGTGAAAGCCATCACCAAGCAGAACGACCCCCTGAGGACGACCTGGCACAAGGCCGGGTACGACGCAGCCTGGGTGCCGCCCAAATCCTACAACCTAAACCCCTCGGGGCTGGAGGAGACCTGCGTCTGGGACCCTAGGGCCATCAGGGTCCTGGATGTTGTCCGGGCACCCGCCATGTACCTGCCGAGACTCAAGGCTTTACTGCGGCGCCTGAAGTAACGTGGGGAGCTGACGAACCCCACTCTCGCACGCGGGCCCGGGCAGAGATGTACATGCACAGCACGGGCCTACATGAGTCCTGCTTCACCTCTTTCTAGAAGTCTGTAACCAATAAAAAAACTTCTGCAGCATGTTCTATGTGAGTTCCGCATATTTTCAGTTTCTGCACAAGGTGTGTTGTCCATACAGGGGCTGGAAAAGCTTGCTGGTCTTGACAATCAAATAGGGATCCCCTCTTCCTCCTGAACACCCCTCCTGTGTGCGTCTGCTCTGCTCACATGGAGTGGATTCGAGGCTGGGGCTCTGAAGTCTCTCCTCAGCTTAGTGAATGTTCTTCAGTTTCTCGTTTTCTGCAGATTCCAGATTCCGAACAGACTCTAGTATCTGCGGTGCACATCCACAGAAATCAGGTCGTCACCGATAAAAAAACACAGGCGCAGATCAGGGGATAGGTTGAACCAGCAGGGGTCAAAGGTCACCAGTCAAACTGGGTTTGACATCCTCACACTTGCGTGTCTGAATACCCCACGCACCGGTTTTGTGACTTAACAGGGGGCCCTGCAGCCTGAGTCCTGGAGTCTTAATCACCTCTTCCTACAAAGAACACTTTGAAGTTATCAATTGGTTAAGCAAGTATTCTGCTCAATTTCCAGACCTGATTCTAGAGGGACATAGTGTAGTGCAGCAAAATCAATTCAAGTCACTGGCTTCAGTGATGACTCTTTAGCAGACAATTGATGAACCGATAAACTATCCTTTTAGCCAGGAGAGTGTAACCCCTCCCGCACAGCTTCTGGTTAGTCAGGCCTGATGGTCAGCTGGGTCTGTCCACTGTTTCACACTTCTGTCCTGGTTTTGTGCTGCCACTGCGTGTGAGTGGAAGGGTCGACCACCTGCTGAGCGTGGCAGGACTGAGCCAGAGGAGCGCAAAGAGGAGCCCGAGAGGGACAGGAGCAGGGGGGAATGGGAGAGGGAGAAGGAAAGACAAGGATCCGGAGAGAGAGAGTGGTGTGGGGAGAGAGCGAGCAGGCAGAAAGGCGGCACAAGTCTCACATATATACCAGGAAGAAGGAGAAGGGAAGATCGGGGCTAGACACATTCCTTCAGTGAAAACTGGACACTTAGTCAGTGACGACACACTGAACACACATACCGACACTGAGCACAAAGAGTAAATGTCCTCACACACTCTGGACACACGAACACAAACTGTGCATAGTGCAACACTGAACATAGACCTTTCTTACTCACCTACATTAGGTGCTGATAGTTCTCATTGATCCAAGACTTTCTGAAAGCCAATTTCATAGCATTATGGAAAACAGCTTAATAAGCCCTTTAAGAGCTGCACAAAGTGTTCTGTTCTGCGGGGAAACACCGTTTCTGCCCCGCCTGAGCAGGCACTGTAGTAAACGACTAAAGCCACAGTCCGAGGCAGGGTCCATCACTGATCATCGTGCGCTGCTCTCTCATCCCTGGGCAGGAGCCCACGTGCGTGTTCATCTCTTGGGGTTTGTAGAAGGAGAAGTATTCATGTTAAAATAAAACCCCCAGTGGATCCCCAATGGTTTTGGAGGGACTAGTTTCCTGGTATTTTTGGGGTAACAGGAAATCCTGTCATAGTTAGAGGCAATGGCAGACCACTGAAAAAGCACACGTTTCCAGGGGAACGGGCTAGCCTTTTATTAAGAAGATTTATTAACTTCATTGGGCGCAGCACAAAAATTTGCTTTCGCTTATTTTTTTTACAAGTAGTGTTATACAGGATTGGTAGAACACTTTTTTTTCCTTCATACATTTACAACATGTAAAAAAAAAAAGGATAACGTATGTTACAATATTAAGGAAGTAGTGTCCACTGGGATTCTGGGAAAGCTGTGGAAAGCGCGGGTCCGAGAAGAGGCCAGCGCCCACCCCTGACTCAAACATCAGCGACGGACAGTGGACTGCTGCTCGCCAGCAGATCGGCGACAATCACTCCTTTTCTGCTTCGCGGGTGGAACAGCTTCTCACCAGCGACCATTCGGTCAAACCCAGTCAATAGCATCGGCAAGGTGAGGCGCTGGCCTGGCGCTGCCCGGAACAGGAACCCGGATAAACGTCCACAGGGCAGCGCTGGAGCAGCGCCCCCCGGAGGCAGCAGAGCCCACAACAGCCAGCGTCCAGGCCTCGGCCCCCTGGTGAGTAAACCGTCCCTGGGCCGGGCTGCGGCTCTGGACATCCGCTGGCGTCTGCGAGAACCGCGTCCCGTGTCCCGGGCAGGGGGAGGTGAGACTGCCGGTTACGGACAGGGGGGGGGGGTTCTGCCCGCACAGCCCCTGTGGTGGCAAGTCACGCCAGAGCAGAGGGGAGTAACGCCCAACCAGTCCTGCGGACGGGGAATACAAGCAGGGCTGTGCGGTCAGGCCTCACCTGAAGTAAATGCCTGCAGGCCGGCAGTCTCTCCCCCGCCAAAGAACAGATCTGCAAATCAAGGCACACGCCTCAAGGACTTCATGAACACGACAATAAAAATGGCTTTGGATCCACTCTGCACTTTGTCCCGTTTCATCTTTGGCATCGAATCGTCTTTGTCAAGAGGTGCTCTGTCTAAAACAAGAGTACCAGCTACAGTCAGAGCTGTTGCACAGCTTTTGCGGCAGGAGGCCGGGGACAGCGGGGGCTGCCAGCTCTGGGAGTCCCTGGTCTCGCTGCCTGTCGGGTCCCGCAGGAGTCATGAGGAGAGGTACTGCGGATCTGGATACCTTACGGTCTGCCAGCTGGAAGTTGCTTCCAAGGGGGTTAGTCAGGCTAAATACAATCGCCTCCATCAACAATAGGCACAGAGGAATTCTCGGCTTTAAGAGACAGTCTTGGCCTGTGTTTTTTAAGAAAACAATACAGAATAAGGCACTGGCATTAAACAGCCGCAGGTGCGAGAGTGCAATATGGCTATAAGAGCCACAAGTTAATCGGTGAAAATGTTGTCATTTTGTATTTGTGGGAAACGAAAAGTTCCCTTAAGTGAATTTCACGCTTAAAAGGTTATTTTGTTGTGAAGGCAGGTCAATTTTGTCTGAAGAAAAAAAAGCAGCATCAGGAGAGCAGGTACTATTCGCCTCAGGCTCCTGCGTGGTCGAGTTACTCTGGACTCCATCGGCCTAGTGCAGGGCGTTCGTTTGCCCTGCTCCTCTCCCCTCTTCAAAATGTAAACGTTTCTAGGAAGCAAGCTTACAAGCACTTCCACCGTTTAACGGAGGCTGCCGTAGGATCCTCGTGTCTCTTGTCACACGCGGGGCATGAGCCTGTGCAAGGGCTCGTTTAATCCCAGCATGCACTCGGGCGGACAGCTGCCGTGGGCTTGTTGTCTGACAAGATGGGCGCTGCACAAAACAGCAGACCCAGTCTTGGATATTAAGGACACCAGACCTCGCTTGGGGAACGGATCCCTCCGACACGCCAGACTGTGGCAGCGATATCACGCCTGACAGCTCACAACAGCGGACGAGGGGGAGAGGAATATAACTGATGTGGTCTTTACCTGCACTGCCCTCAGCTTGCCTCGTGTCTGCCTGGATAGTGGGACAGAGTTTTCCAGCAAGACTGTAACTCGGGCTGGGATTGAGAAGAGTAAAAGCACAGCAGCTGTACAACACACCATGACCAGTGAGAATGTGTGGAAAGCACTTAGGAGTGCCACTGTAAAACAAAATGCAGAAGTAACAGGCTGAATTAGCCAGTACAGTATAAAGATGTCCAAGTTTCCTCTAGTCCTCCAGAATCCAGAAAGTCATGTTGCACACAATAAAGGCCTTATTTAAAGCTGGAAGTCAGATTAAGACATTGCATAGTTTCTGTACAGTATTGATATTTAAGACATACAGGACAATACAACAGGAATGTATAAAACCTAACATAAAGGCTTATAAAACATTAAAAAAACATAAGAACAAGATGCTTTTGAAAATAATACTGTCATAACATTGAGGCACTTCTTTAAAAAAAAGAGAAGTCAAGCAGTTTGGTTCTGCTAGATTGTCTGTTTTCTCATCGCGCTCCAGGCACCTGGCGGGCATTCCCACCTGGAGCTGGAAAAGAGGGAACCGTCGGCGGTTCTGGCAACGAAGGCCAAAGCAGGTCCACAGCACAGGGCCAGTCCAGCACACAAACTGGGCAGCCCTCTGGTCTCCGTGGAGACGGCCGAGGACCAGCTGGGAGCATAGAGGAGGCCGAACTGCTGCTGTCTTTCAGAGCGCCCCCTGCAGTGCGGGGCAGGTCTGAGGGGCCGCGCATCGCGGCTTCCTGCCGGACACAGCGCCTCTGGCGCGGGCGAACACCCCAGCCTTCGGCCACCGCCACTCAACTTCAAACGTCTCGAAAAAAGAATAAATTAAAACAACGTGTGCTCCTCTCCTTGCAGACGCGGGCCTGTGACTGGAGGAAGTGTGCAATGCCTGAACGCAGGCTCTGATTGTTTTTGGGTGGGGAGGGAGGGGTGGGGCGGAGTGGGCGGTTTGCACAGAGGACCCGCTTCCGGATCCGATGGCGGCGGGTCTCACAGTCTTCTCCAGCCGTTGCGGATCACCGCGTCGGCACGCAGGAAGGGCTGATTTCGGAGGTCTGAGGGCGAGAGGGCAGAAGGGCAAGGTTATGGCTTCGGCACACGCCACGGATGGCAGCTGGCAAGAGAGACTGGCACCTGCAGGCTGACGGGGCACGACGGTGTAGGTGGTGAAGGACGTGCCCCTCCCTCGGCCTCGCCAAGCAGGAGGGACAGAGACACCTCTCTCCAAGAAAGACAGAGGTCAGAGGTCAGGGGTCACGCTTCTTCAAACACCTCCACTGTTCTGCCCAAACAGACTTCGTGCCAGCAGTCTCACCGCGGGCACAGGGACGATCCTGTTCCATTGCAGCCTGGCCTCTTCATGCACGCAGGGAGTTTAGAAAGCTGGCCTGTGAAAACTGCACGCCGTCAAGCGGTGACGTTTTACACTCACGCCAACGGCCCCAGGGGTAACGTGGTCAAGCCCCTTCATGATGGAAGCACACACTGAAGGGAGCCAACGTTGGCTGAGGGTGACTGCAGTTTGTGTCCAGAATCTCAGTGGACATACTCAACAGCTGTGAGAAGATGCTCAGAGCCAAAGGAAGTGGACCCAGGTACCACACACCTTGACCACCATGCAGTATCCACAGTGGAGGTCTTTGAACAGGGTAACTAATTTCCTAAGCACTGTGTGCACAGACTGGTCCTCAGAATTAAGAAAGTACTGTTCCTGCTCTTACTGGAACAAGAAAGGAAGCATTAGCTTCAGTAGGAACAAGTTAAGGTTTATTCCCTGCTGAAAAGAGAAGAAAGGAAACCGTCTCTGGGCTTCTGAACCTTCTTCGGGTGTGAGTGTGAGGTCTTCCTCTCACCCGAAGAAGGCTCAGAAGCCCAGAGACGGTTTCCTTTCTTCTCTTTTCAGCAGGGAATAAACCTTTACTTGTTCCTTTGCAGCCTACGCACACTGACGCAGCTCCCTGCTTGAACTACATTCACTTCAGTATTCAACAGAACAGAAGATACGTTACATTGCAACTTATCAGAAATCTCCCCCCTGGTCTGGCTTACACATCCTGCAGGCGTTCCGCCACACAGCTTTGGCATCACAGACTATCTCTGCCCATCCAGCTCTAGACATGTGAGAAAATGTTTATCCCGTACCGTTTCAGCAGGGATCAGGTCAGAGGACAGGAGAGAACAGTGCTTCCGTTTCAAAAGCCGGGATATGACCTGAACAGAGAGAACAGCACCCTGCCAAAGCCATGTGACAGGCTGCCTAAGATATGTGCAACTCTGATTGCCCACAGGAGGAAACACCTTAATAAAGGCTGCAGTAACGTGTCTTCTGTCACAGTCGGTTTTAAAGAAGGGTGTCAAATCCAGGTGGTTTATGCTATCACTCGTCTCTTAGCTGTACATCAGCAATGCTGACCAGGTTGCAAAAAGTAGAACCTCATCTCCAGCCAAGGCAATGGAACAAGATCTCTCTCGCTGTGTGTCTCCCCGGTGCTGAAAAGGATTTCCTATGCTTGCCAATTTTCTGCTGAAGGCTGCAGCCACACTAAGACGCCTCCTGTGCTTTGTTGGAGACACATTGTCTGAGGAGAGCACAGACGAAGTGGACACACAGTTTGTCAACATACCAGCAGACACGTGAAGTCAATGCACTGTCAGTGGGAAGGCAGTGCAAATGTTTCAGAAATCGCTGGCTTGCGCGTTTTTTTGCAATCAAATGAGATATTGATAAGGGATGCTACTGGCCAAGATTTACCTGGATATTTTTGCCCAGTTTATTTGCTTTCATAAGAAGGGCGCACATCAAGGCTGGTAAGCGTCATTAATGCAAAACCAAGTTAGGGGTTAGTTGAATGCAGAGCACAAGCAGGCAGACACTCCCATGCAGACGGTTAAGGATGTGCTGGAGGAGGAAGCCAACCTCCTTCCTCAGGGCTTCCTGCAGATCACTATCAGGATTTCAGGCCGCAGACAGCGCCACCTATTGGTATTGTACAGCTGCCAAAAACCTCCAAACACAACATCTGGCTGTTTACGCAAAGCAGCCCGAAGCCTTTCATCTCCTGACCACGTCCAGGTGAAGCATGTGCACAGATCACAACGACGCTCGTCGAAAGCATCACAGCAGCTCTGACAACACAGGGCAAACCTGCCAAAGCCTTATGCTTCTGTTAGGGTCTTTGTTTTTCTTGTCTTATTAACTCCGAAATGTAACTATTTACATTTCCCATTTCCCATGGGGCAGCAGGGAAAAAAATAAGTCAGCTGTGCTGAGCTGGCCTGTCATTCAGTTTGGGAGGCTCGCTGTAGCAGGTAGGCGGCAAGCTTTGCGATGCCGAGATACGCTGCCAGTCTTACCCGCTGTGTGGAAGGACTACACTTAGAGATCGCTCTTCCTTCTAGATGGAGAGGCACAAGGAGCAGGGGGAGAGAAGGAGGTTAACAAGGTGGAGGTTGACAGAACGAGCCACAGTTAATAGGACTGAACCGTGAAAGCCAAGCCTCTTTAGGGAAAAGTTGCGCACACTGGGAAGGACCGCCTTCCACCGGCCTCGACCCGCTAGGCATCAGATCCGACCTGTTGCTTGACCTGCTGCTGCTTTTATTCCTGGGCAGGCTGTGTGGGCCCATCCAGGAGCACGGGGCTGGAGATGAGCTGCAGCAGCTTCCCAGGCAGTCTGCCCGTCTTCCTCAGAAGAGGACTTTCCGGGTAGGTCGCAAGGTCAAGAGGTCACGATGTCAACGGGGGGGGGGAGGCCGTGTGCACACAGCTTCTGTAAAGAGGCTTGACTTCACCTGTGGAGGGCGCTCATGGACGCACGCCGCACCGCTACCGGACGGCTGGGTTAGTAAGGAGGACTCGAGTCCGGGGACCGGCAGGGGCCATGCAGAGCTCTAACTAACGGCATGCAGAGTCACCGGGGCAGGGGGTGACCTTGGGGTAGGGGGGGCTAACAGTTGGACTCGTCGTAGAGGTTGGCGTCGCAGAAGAAGCGCGAGCCTCGCTTGGCCGTTCGGGCGGTGAAGGGAACGCTCTTGAGCACTGCGGGCAGAGAGAGAAGATGTCACACCCATCGCCCGGCAGACTGGGCGCTGGTACAAAATCCCTCCCCTGTCGAAGTCAGCAAGTTACAGGAAAGGGAATGATTGTAAAGGCAATTAAGCACAGCCGACCACCTCAGGTATGAATTCCTGCCCTCCGGCAGAACGCAGAGTGCCACTTCCAGGCAGTTCTGTTTAAAACGGTTCACCCTTGCTTTTATCTTCAAAGTCCTGTTTTTATTTCTAACAATACAGGACCTTCAGGAAGCAGCAACATTTCATGTTCTTATTTAGATCACAGCAGGCGAGGAAGCTGTGATGTTAGCCTGTGGTTTTGAAGGGGAGCTCCTAATGGTGAGGACGAGGGAGCCTTTTCTATCACACGTAGAAGGCAAAGTCCCCTTCTTGGGAGTTTTGATCCATCTGGATCCGTTACACTTAATCCCTCTGCCTAAAAGGGAAGAGGGTGGCACTATGGGCTGTGTGTGAGCTGCAGTGACGGGGGCGTTTCAGGAAGGAAGGCTGGGAAGAAGTCTAGTACAGGAGCAGGGTGCTAGGCAGGGGTACAGGGGGACACATGTAGACATGGGATGTCTTCCATCAGGTAAGGCTATGCTGGTAATGATAAACGCCCGTGCTTTTAAAGATGCTGTAGATGGAGATGCCTGC